AAACTTAGCGCGGACACCCGATCTACATAGAACGACCACCCTCAGGAATCCCGCCCTCAAGCCATTCAACAACCCCAGCCTCCAAGTAACTGGATTACAGGCGTGCGCCACTACGCCCGGCTGACGAAATACGAACAAATTTAACAGGTCAATCGTAACAAGCCTCGACTGCCCGCCGGAAGTAAAATGGCTTATTCTTAAAGACCAAAATACATCACGATTCCTACAGAAAACTCAACGTAAAAGGAAAGCAACAAATATTTATCTTAGGATTGAGGTTAGATTGAACTACACAAAATGTAATACAAAGCTGGCTGGATATAGTTTGTCACAATATTGGTTTTCGTTCAAACGAAGCATTGTCGGCGGAAGTCGAAAGCTTTTATTGGAAGGAGAGAACAATGGAACGGACTTGTGGAATATGGAAACCGGATGGAACAGTTATATCTTTTTGTCGGTCTCTCTCTCTCTGTCTATTTGTTTGCTATTCAGTATCGACAAAAAATAAATATCGAAATTATTAAGAAGAGACTGCTACACCGAAACATAGAAATCTGAAATCCGTATTTTCATCCATATACTTACATACCCTTGTAGAAGCATCGAGCGTTTTAAAAAAACTCCCACTATTAATTTGTTATTAATACTAATAAAATGAATAGCTGTTGCACCGAGCTGAAATTAGATGCAATTCACCGCGGTACCATTATTAGAAAAGATGGAAAAGACACGAAAACCAACAATACACGTAACAACTTTTCTTCCACAGAGTCTTGACGCTTTGGAAGGCAGGTGTTTAACATTTACAGACTGCAGACTGCAGACTATATTTGGGTCAAAATAGCGTTCTGGTTAGCCTGAATATCACTCAGGCTGTTTATGGTTAGCTCTCAGTAATGGAAATGGGAATACTTGAGAGTACGATGAGTTGAAAAGTCTGCATTTTGCGGTCTGCAGTCTGCAAATGTCATACACCGTTGGAAGGTACAGGACAACAACGGAAGCGAAGAAATAGCGGCACAGTAGTTTTGACCTACTACGTTTTCGGCCATTTTAGGAGACATTTACAAACTCTTAGCGTTGTATATTATGGGTCAGATCTTATACGTAATCAGTTCCGGGTTGATCGAAAGGTGGATAACACTATCCGCCGGATAAATCACTACCCAGCTGGACAGCGTGGTTTGCTNTCTCTCTCTCTCTCTCTCTCTCTCTCTCTCTCTCTCTCTCTCTCTATTCGTTTGCTATTCAGTTTCGAAAACAATAAACATCGAAATTATTAAGAAGAGACTGCTACACCGCCACATAGAAATCTGAAATCCGTATTTTCATCCTTATACTTACACACCCTTATAGAAGCATCGAGCGGTTTGAAAAAACTCTCACTATTAATTTGTTATTAATACTAATAAACCGAATAGCTGTTGCACCGAGCTGAAATTAGATGCAATTCATTGCTGTACCCTTATTAGAAAAATGGAAAAGACACGAAAACCAACAATACACGTAACAATTTTTCTTCCACAGAGTCGTGACGCTTTGGAAGGCAGGTGTATCACATTTACAGACTGCAGACTGCAGACTACATTGGGGCCAAAATAGCGTTCTGGTTAGCCTGAATATCACTCAGGTTAGCCTGTTTATGGTTAGCTCTCAGTAATGGAAGTAGGAATACTTGAGAATACGATGAGTTGAAAAGTCTGCATTCTGCGGTCTGCAGTCTGCAAATGTCATACACCGTTGGAAGGTACAGGACAACAATGGAAGCGAAGAAATAGTAGCACAGTAGTTTTGACCTACTACGTTTTCAGCCATTTTAGGATACATTTCCTAACTCTTAGCGTTGTATATTATGGGTATTATACGTAATCAGGCCCGGGTTGATCGAAAGGTGGATAACACTATCCACCGGATAAATCACTATCCAGTGGATAGCGTGGTTTGCTTTGTTAACACTTATCCCCCGGATAGCGATTTATCCGGTGGTCTTCGCACAACTAGGGCCGGGTCTAAAAGAATTGACTGAGACCCCGCGCAGCCAACCTTGTTCCTAGGGCCCTGACCTCAGGAACGAGGTTGCCGCGCAGATTCCCTCAGACTTTGGACAACTGCTTTGGATCCAGATTGAGCGAGTGCCACTAAGAAAAGATACATTCCTTTGAACTAAGAGTACTAGATCAGAGCTTTTCCAGGGTCTCTACCGTTATGGGTTAAAAGGAAGTAACGAAGCTATTTTTCGTGAGAGATGGAAGAATGTTTTCAATGATAATCTAAAAAAAAATAACGGAGGTCGAAAAATTTCTGCTGCAAGAACATGCAACCTTATTGGCGAGGAAGGATTTGACCCTTGTTCATGGTTTGCAAACCCCATTGCTTTATTCAACGAGAGCAAAATATTTTTTCTCTCTCTAGCGCGGCCATTCATTCATTAAATTACTGCATTATCCATTCTTTGGAAAGTAAGAACACGTTCGCAGCGCGATTGCCTAGAAATCTCTATAGGAGCTCGAGAATCAAGATTTAACAAACTATTCAACGCGAAGCCTTGGTAAACACACGCCAAGAAATATAAAAAAATAAGAACAACTCAAAAATCTCACTTCAAAACTGTTTTAATCTGAAACAACGTTTATTTAAAAACACATTATTCTAAACGGATTCAAAATACTCTGAAAGGTAATAATAATATATTTCACTGCTTTTTTCTATTACTAGAAATAAAATTCTCCCCAGCACTATATAGTAACTCTTAAAATGCACATTTATGAGTATATTATTCTGTCGAAATAAAATAAATTTTGCAAAGCTACGAAGATTCCATTTTTACCTAAACAGACGGAGAAGATTCACTATGTTCCTCACAAAACTATAAAAAAATGTCTTGGAAGAGAGGCTAGAGAAGCAAAGCATACGGGAATTGTGCTCAGTTCTTAATTCTCCGATCCTAATACGATTCAAACTTATGTAATGTTTTTGACGCCATCTTGTGAGGGGGGGAGGGGGTGAGGGGAGGAGGGGCAGACACGGGAAAAATGTCAGTAAATGTAAAGTAAATGTAAAGAAAAGTTACGAATCTAAAGTCTAACAATTCGCGAAAAATTCGACTCTCGAAACATTTAATACGAACTAAAAACTAAACATATGAAGTAAGAGAATTCACTGGTCAAATTTGAGAGGTAAAACGTCTATAGAAAAGGTGCAATTCCCACCAGCTCAGCTGTGTTCTACAAATGTGATCGATAAAATCTAATTTTCTTGTGCTGTGGACCTTTATCATGTAAAACTTAAAACCTTCAGCTGAATGTTAATCATCCTCATATTATTGACCATTGAACTTCCCGGCAACTTATCTATTCCCTTACATTTACTGTATCTTTTTTACGTGTTCGCCACCCAACTAAGATGGTGCCTGCAACCGTCAAAGCGTCTGTTACAAGCACTAATCAGATCTGGGAAGTGTTAGATATTCAGCGTGGCATTTCCACGCTGTTTATAGCTTAGACGTCCTTCGCACTTCAGAGCCCCACATCCCTGCTTTCACTTGAGCTCTTCCTGCAAGAGTTCCCTGAGCACAACACCAAATCCACGAGGCGGTTGTGTTTTGCTTTCAAGAATTTCGGGGAGGCGCCTTTGACTATATTGTTGAGTTGAGCAGGATCCTTCTTCACGTCGTACAGCTCCACAAACGCCTAGAGTCAGAGAAAAAATGGAAATAAAACACGGAAGGTTTGCAGGAGGAACGCCCGTGGTGACGAGCAAGGGAAAAAATCCGCCACCAGAGTCTGTGTATATTTCGTACTAGAGTCGTGACAAACTACGGACAGAGACTTGAAAAGTCTTGCAGAAACATGACTAAAATTCATTTTTGCGAACCTCGTAGCCTGAAATGTCAGTCATGTTTCGCCCTCAACCTATTAAATCTCCTAGGGATTAGGCTGAGGACGAAACATGACTGACATTTCATGATACGAAACTCGATAAAGTGTTTTCACATGACGTCACGGCAGGCATGTTGGTATCCGATAACAACGAAACGGCGACTAAGGTGGTCTCCCTGTGGGCGGTTGAACTTTTTCATCTGAAACATTTGAAACACTTTCAAACATTTCATTTTGAACACTTTCATTTGTTCCAATAAATTTGCATGACTGCTGGTCACCTCAGTGAAAACGCTCTATAAAGCCAAGTTTTGAGTGTTAAGGTTTAAGAAATGACGTTTGGCCAATCACTGTCAATCACAACAAACTCAATACGCCAATCAGAATTCGAGGCAGTAAAAGGTAACAGCTGTTACCGGCGCCAACCCGGAAGCGCGGGAAAACCTGCAAGACTTCGCGTTCGCTTTGATTGCTGATGAGTTTTGGCCTTTTGGAAAATACTTAGACAGCTATGCAAAGTTAAAATCCAACTGAAAGAAGCCTTATCAATCATAAAAGATGATGGTGGTACGAAAAGGGCTTCTTAAGTCCACAGAATCAAACTTACCTCTTTGTCAGCGAACTCGCAGTACATCATGTCTTCGGACTGGCTCAGTGAGCGGACACACGAATACGTGTTGTTCCAAGCATCCTCGCAAACACAGTTGGGCCAGCAACACTAAGGAAGAAAAACAGTCATAGGACAAACTCTACACATATAAGCTTGTTTACATCAAACTTTTAACGCGGCGAGTTTGCATTTCAAAAACCTCGGTTCTTTTTAGCGTTTTTGAGAAGCCTATTAACAATGACCCTGTGAAATCATTTTGACTGGTTATGTCTGAGAACGATAAATATAAACAAAACGTGTGTTTAATACCGAGACTCCAGCTGAAAGCTCTGGGCATCCCGCAATCTTTAGGTCACCTTCTCCGTAGTGCTGCACGAGAAAATCTGTGCGCCATTCCACATTCTTCTGAATAAGAACAAAGGCAAATCATTATTAAAATGCAACAGGGTTTTACTGTAAAATAAGCTTGGTCGTGATAAACGGCAATAACTTTTAAGGTCCTTTATATAACTATCGGAAATACACAAAGTTACGTTATAGGTGCAACGGGACAATGCCTTTCAGTAAACCTAGCTATGACTTGACATATTTACCTCTTTCTGGCTCTTTTGAAAATCTGCTTTCTAGAAACGAAAAAGTAAGAAAAAAAGGTAATCAACGTCACTATAGAAGTATACAGTGCAAGTTCTTCCACTCGGAGACCTAATTTAAAAATAGTAATTCCACAAGTCATTGAATTAACGGCCTTGTCAGAATAACTTATAAGGACTGAACTACGTACCAAAAGAGGTAGAATTGACCGACCATCCATGGACTCAGGTGCTTTTCCACCAGCTAACTCCACAATTGTTGGTGCTATGTCAATATTGAGAATAGGGCTCTAAAAATGACAAAAAAGAAAACTCAAAAACTTAAAAAAACCCTGCTGCAGTGTCTTAAGTGGGTTGAGCCCTCTAAATGCCTAACAAGAACACTAAATTCTACATGTTCCACAAGAAACTGTCACCTGAGAAGTTTTATTTGCCATCACTCCAGGACCTCTGATCATAAAAGGCACACGAACATCAAACTCATACAGCTGGCGTTTGTCTTGTGGGAGGGAAAACTGACCTGCAGAAACAGAGGAAATAAACAAGGCCAATAACCTATTACAATGGCACAGAAAAATAACACTCTCTGCAAGCCTCTGCACACAAGTTATGTAATTAAAAAAGTTAGGTAGGTGATGGATGATTTATCTGGAAAACTGTGACCTATGTAAGTCTAAGTTCTAAGTTCTACTAAGTTCTTAAAACTAATACTGAAAGAAATTTACAGCAATATGTGTGGAGAATAATATCTTGCATTAGAATATACCACAAAAGTGAATGGTGCTTTTCATGCATTCTGATTGGTTAATTCAAAGATGATTAGCAAACTACTATTGTCACTATTTACCTCTGAGCAGAGATTTTGAAATTTCCAACAATCAGAAGCAAAATAATAGTTTGTTCTGCTAGTTATTCAGCTTCTGTCAGTGAATTTAGTGATGGATATTTTTTATAAAGCTGCATTTTGACTTGGTAAATTATCCACCACAGTGACTATTCATCTTCATTTCACTGCATTATGCTTAATAATTTACTATAGGCATGCACTGCATGCAGAATTTTATATTATCAATGGAGTTGGATGGCTCCTGAGTACCAACACTTTACTCTCACTGGTTTCTCTAGTGTGAAGCAAATATGAGTATTGCTACTCTCCTGAGTGGGGATGCTAGTTTATGGCTAGTTAGCTCCTTGCCTTAACATGTTGTTTCATGGGATTTATTCTTTTGTGATCCCAGAAAGCTGGTCAAATCTGGATAACTTGATCCAAAGCTCAACATATTAACCACTCCGCCCACCAAAACAACAAAACAACAAAAGAACAAAGCAACAACAGTAATCCACCCATTCCATGACACACTCTCTAACACAATGGTTCAATTGGGCAAACATTGGTCACAGTTACCTAAATGAAATCCATTATCTGAAGAGAATATGATGTGTGTGTTTTCCAAGTGTTTTCCATTAGCCAACGCCATGATGACGTCTTCAACAAGATCATCCACTGACAACAGTGTCCGCCATCTTAAAAAAAACGAATTATATGGAGTTTGTTAGCTGATAAGGACTGTTATTTTAACTATAGAGTAAAGTATTGAATGATTACTTTTAAAAAATGTTCCAAACCTGTCCCGGAAGAAATTATCCAAAGAAGTGATAGATGATTCCTTCATAGGATGTGGAGTATTTCTGATGAGCCAGTGCTTTGACTGAGGATAAAAAATAAAATAAATGTATACACATTAATTACCCTGGCATCTAGGTCTCCAGCGCATGCAGAAGACTCTGTGGCTTTCATTTTCCGTGCAAATTGCAGATGAAAATATGAGGGAATGACTTTTTACATATCCCTAGTGAGATTGTAAATCTGTTTCAGAATGTACCTAGATTATAGTGGAGGGATATGTGGTAGATCAGTCAATAACTCATCATCACAGCCGAAGAACAATGTGAACAAACACAAAGAAGGGAGTAGCATTTTTTCCCTCCTGTCTGCTTGTTTTCCTCTTGCAGAATCTGACTAGCCTGGAAAAAGTCAATCTGATTTGAATCTCTAGTAAATATTAATTTTATTGATCTTGATTCATATATAAACTGGTTGGCTGAGATGAAGAAGAAAACAGTTTGAGGGTTTAATTGAAACAACAGAGACTTAATTAACAACACTCACAGATCCACCGGCTGTATTGAAGCTGGGAGTCCTAGGCGCCTTACTGGTATTGAAGTTTTCCTTGTACTGAGGTGCAGGGGTGAATGGGTCATGGCATGCAGGGGTGGCAACCATCATAAAGAATGGAGGCGATGCTTCTGACTGTTCCTTTATAAAATTTACAGCGTGACTTTTCTACAAAGTGAAAAACAACAACAGTGGTTGAGATAAATAAATAAATAAATAAATAAATAAATACATAAAAATTAATGGTGGTACATCGAACAGAGAGGTTCTTTGCTGATCAAATTGCAGTTTAAGCATGTTTATTTTTGTGGAGAACCTGGAGAAAAGACCCTTGAGCAAGGCAACAAACTCAACCCATTTTTGATACCAGGTGCAGGATTCTAACCCAGGCCACATTAGTAACAGTAAAAATAAAAAGAGAGAAAAAGATGTTGTTAATAAAGACATTATTTTTTCTCCAGCTTCGCAGCGGTCCTGAATCTTAAATCCTTGAATCTGATTGGCTAATCACATGTGCTCCAGTGGTCTGGATTTTCCCATCCAGACCCCAGGTACAAACTGCTCCAAAATTTCCAATTTTGGAAACTTTTCAAGCTCTTTGTTACACCAAAAAACAATGTAAAATAGAAATATTCAACAAATTCTGCAAAAAGTATAGATCTATGTACCCAAAAAGTCAAACGCACATGTACACCTGACTTGAACTGAATGGCTTTAATCAAAATTCAACACAAAAGTTATTTTCAAAGCAATACCGTAGAGTATTACTAGCCGGCCTTGGTCGGTCTGTATTGGTAAAAACTGTGCCCTTGGTCTTGAGTATTCAAGACCTTGACACAGTTTTTTTCCAGTACAGACCTCCCAGCCAGCAAATAACATATATTTATACTAAGCACCATCTCAGCTGTACTCACCAAAATATCTGTCAGATAGTCAGTGCTGTAATTGTGTCCATGTTTCTCTGGCTTGCCATTTGCTGATAAGGTGTAGTTATAATATCTAGAGTTACCCACTAATCCAAGCCACTCATCCCAGCCTGGGGGAACATGTTCAGGACCGCCCACTGATCGGCTACCATACTGATTTAAGTACTTTCCCCCGAAGAATGTCCTGTAACCAAGATCTTTCAGGTAAGTGCTGACAGAATGTTTCTCTGGTCCTGCTTGCCAACCTGGACTTGAACATCCACCTGATATGGAGTTATTTTTGGCATGATGGTTATGTACGTACTGGCCAGTTAAAATGCTTGATCGGCTTGGACAGCACAAAGGACTTGTAACAAACTAAAGCCAAAAAATAAATGAGATGAGTAAATATGTACATAAATAAGACTATTCATTTTTAGTATATATCTACTAGCATTCTATCATGAATGCTGTTTTCTGATTGGCTCTGCTACTCACTATCTATTCTGTTATAGATAGTGAGTAATGTTAAGCAGAGTGCAGTTGTTAACACAATGACCGTGCTTCTTTGCATTTTCAAAGTGTCTTCAAAGAGGATTAAAATCAAAACTATGATGGTTAAGCCAATGAAAACTCTTGAATTACATGAAAACCATGAAACAATCTACAAACCAACAACACACCACAGCTGTTCCTACATCACACAACATACTGTGCCAAAATTGCTTCCACTTACCATGTTATCAAATTTGATTCCATGTTGCCCAATAAGTTCATCTGTTTTCTTCATGGGACTCTGATTTTGAACATTGAGAAGAAACTTTATATCAACGAAATGTGTTTATGTTTTGTCAAGCTGTAACTTCAAAAACTACCTTCTGCTAAGCACATATAAACATCTGCCTTTTTAACCTTTTTACAATTGTAAATTTAGTTAGCATCGGGCAAGCAAAGAGCCACCCTGTGGATATACTGCCCGAAATGTCATTATTATTATTATTATTATTATTATTATTATTATTATTATTATTATTATTATTATCTGCATTAATTAATTCTGATAGTGAATTTACACTTAAAATGGATCATGTATCCTTAAAAGGCATCCGCAGATGAGTGTCAATCGATACACTCAATGGACATCTTGATTGGTGCTCAATCAGTACTTGATTGACATCACGACTGATACTTAGTCTACACTAGATCAACACTTGATCGACAGTCTGTTGATAGTCGGCCGAGTGTCTACTGGCTTTTATCCATCAATTGAAAATTAGTTGAATGTCGCCTGACTGTCAACCGAGATGTTGATCGAGTGCCAATTGAGTGTTGTTCGAGTGTCGATCGAGGCCTCGATCGAGGGTATCAGTTGAGGATATTGATTGACATTCAACCGCAGATGCCTTTAGTACACATGATCCCTTTAATTTCAGTAGCTGAGCAAACAAATGGGCACTCCACATCATTCATTCCACATCAAACAAAACTATGCCTGCAGGGGTATCTAGAGATCTCTATAATTTTCTTTTATAACTTAGTCTGACACGATGGAGAAAGGTGAAACCTCTGAGAAATGCAAGAATTTGGTTCTAGAAACCATAATATTACTGAGCTTTAGAAGTTTCTTTTTGTTTGGACACAATTATATATCTTGATGCATGGTGCACTAGAAGTCGACGAAACACGTGACAAAATCTTCTCTATTTTTGCACGAAGCAGCTTCGTCCACCATAAGATGACATTAACTTGAATCATATATGCCTAAAGGAAGAAGAAAATATATATTCTTGCTATAAGCAGTTAAGCTTTAGAATTAAAATGGCTTACAAGTCCTCCAAGCACAACATCCTGGTCATCTGTCAGGATAAACACGATATTTGGAGGCTTGTCGGCGGCGCTAGAAACAGCTATCGAACAGCAAGAATACAATGCTAGAAACAATGTGAAATGCCTGTGTTGGCGAAGCATTTTGCTGTACCAAAAGGTTCAGAAACCGTGTGTTATGGATACTGGAATTTCTCGTCATGTGAATGTCCCGTGTGAGGTTGTCTTTGCGGGGGACTGAGAGGGATTGTAGTCACGCAACGATTTTGTGACAACCTGTCGTGACTTGGCGTGACTACAAAAATCCGCGGGGAGGGCGCAAAAAGAAAAATACTACTGACAGAGGTTTCTATTTACCGACGCACCTATCTCACAAAACAACAAAGTAATCGTACATGAGCCTGGTATGATTACGACATGTTTGCTATAACATTTCATAAATTTCTTTTTTTTTAGGAAAGCTGATCGCTGGTATTTGACGTGGTCGAATGAGCCACGGTGGGGGGGGGGGGG